CCGCAAATCTTTGGTTTATTCACCTCTCACTAAAATCGCTTCAGTGATACTCTACTTCTCTGAAAGTTTTGAATGAAAGAGCTAATCCTCCAGTAACATGGTACTGAAACCTTACATATTCAGGCACATGTAGCTATTTCAACCCAAACTCTTGGCTGTTGAATCCTAAATTCTGTATTATCAAAATATTAGTTGGTGTTTTTTTTTTTTTTTTTTAAAAGATGACCGGTAAGGGGATCTCAACCCTTAGCTTGGTGTTGTCAGCACCACGCTCAGCCAGTGAGCAAACCGGCCATCCCTATATAGGATCTGAACCCGTGGCCTTGGTGTTATCAGCACCGCACTCTACCAAGTGAGCCACGGGCCGGCCTAAAATATTAGTTGTTTAGAGCATGGCCTTAGAATACCAAGGTCAAGAGTTAGGTTCTCCCTACTGGCCAGCCAACAACAACAACAAAAAAAATAGAAGGCACCCAGTCTTATCTTTGGCATATTCCATACATGTTGAACTCCTTCCAGTGAGCTGCTCACATCTCCACACTTGTCTAAGCACAGGGATAGAAGTAGGGTTATAAATCCAAAGGCCTACTCATATAAAAATACTAATAGCTCCTAAGTTGATTATTGCCCTGTTGTAAACCAAACTTTAAATATCAGTATGGGTATTTTACATGAATTAGAAATCAAACATTTGTAATGAACTAATTCACACCACTTTCCAATTGACTGATTGCCCCTCAATCTACATTTTTAGAAGGAAAGCTTAAAAACAAAAATAACCTGATACACCATGGAAGGAGAAATTTTTTGTTAGAGAGACCATTCCATAGGCTGACAAGTTTCATCTAAAGCTCTACTTCTGGGTCCTAAAACAAATAATCTTCTGATTTCCAGTTTCCTTTTCCATATCAGAAAGTAGAAAGTATATTCAGTAATACTGGGGAGCAAAGGTAAAGGTTTTGGCTATACAAGAGGTTCATAGAAATCAAGTAATTATTTGGGATGTTTGTGTAGCCTGCCTATTTGGCTCTTTTCAGAGGAATTAAAAGCTTTGATAGCAAAGCTTTATTTATTTATTTTTGGCAGCTGGTCAGTACAGGGAACCAACCGTTGGCCTTGGTGTTGTAACACTGCACTCTCACCAACTGAGATAACCAGCCAGCCCATGAAGCTTTATTTTAATTAAAAGCTACCAACTGTGAAGTTGTTAAATAGTTCTTCTTGACTCACTCTTTGGCACTGACTTCTAGAGTCCAAAACAAGAACATCCTTGGGAACTTAAGCAAATGCAGAGTTCTTCCTCTTGAGAAAATATAAACTCAAACCAGACTAATTTCCAAGCAAAGATGTGAAGATGTTCACCTGGAACATCTGTCCTCTATTAGAATGGCTCTATTACACATGGCTCTTTCCAGAGAATAGCTACTTTCAACACTTGTCAAGAGTTCCCATTCTGGAATGTATGATTAACAACCACTACTGTGACAACCAAATAGATATATCTACTCCTATACTATTACTGCTGGACAGTCAGAAAGCAATAGGACATGGATTAGATCAGCTTACCTCAAATGAAATACTTTTACTAAAGGCCAATTAAGAATTGGAAAGGAAAAAAAAGTTTTTCCCACAAATTTCACAAAATCTAAAAATTTTTCAATCGGGTTGTTTGACAAGGCACCTTACACAGGCACCTAATTCCTCTTAAAATTGTGGATCAAGCAAAATATCTCTCTTTCCTTCCAGACGAACTTAAGTTTCTTTTTAGTCAATGAGAACTACATAACTAATTCCACCTCAGAGTCAGAGGAAAATGCCTGAATAAAGTAACACGAGGTTATCAATGTCTCATTCTCCTACCATATACCTAAGGATGACTGCTTTCTAAATTGCTCATATTTTATCTTGAGAAATCATGGCAAATCTGCAATATACTTCAAGATATAGTTATATTTGCTTAAGTTATTTGAAAAAATTATGACTTTTTCCTTTTTATCTATATTGAGTAAAATTGACATTCCAAGAAAATATGCCATGTCTGTCCTATAATTTCAAGTACCTCTGGGCACCATGCTAAGTACACCCAGAAGTACACATATAATAGTTGGAAAAATAAAACCCATAAGTGATGTCTGTTGTTTGAATTTAATTTTATGTGAAATAATTGTTTTGCGTCTTTTTACTGGAGCTGGCTTCAGGACCATTCTTAAAGAAAGATACAAACAGATTTAAAGTGTGGTTATTCTGGTAAACGGTGATCACAAATGAAACACAGAGTCACACAATTGTGCATTTTCATATTTACATAAGATGACTTACGTCATTTTCAGAGTTTTTAGTGTACCATTTGCAAACGCTACAAATTAAACCACCTCTCAAAGCAATGATTAAACCCAATAAAACAGCGAGTCCTACACAATTAGACAAAAAGCTCTGAAGACACTGAATCCATGCTTTTATAAAAATAAGTATTCGGTTTTCACAGCAAGAAAAATCTAAAATTCTTGTTGGAGACAGTTATTTTTTTTTAAAGGTTTTAGTGATGAGACAGGCAACACTGATGATGTGAGATACAACTTATACTCCAGAGAAGTTGTATTTTATTATTTTCTTATAAAGCTGGGTAAGGATAAACTTAGACTATCAGCTAAGAACCATAACTGCAACTATTATTCAATAAATGTTAATTTCATTCTTGATATGGACAAGACATTGTCCTATATGCTGCAGAGGTACAAGATGTAAGAGACACAGGCTGTAAAACTTACTGTCCTTTCCACTTGTAATCAGAGATGGGGAGGCGGGGAAAGTATGGGAATGAGACAGGGTGCAAGGGACTGTGAGAGACAGACAGATACAATATATACTACAAAGCATACTGACATAGAACAGTAAAAACCTGCTCTATATGGGAAGAGAGAATTTAATTCTGCCTGAGAGGATCTGAGGTTACGGTTGATGAAGTCTATATAAACCAAGGGATGTGTCAATTACAAGTCCATGGATAGAACTTCAACAGGGAGCTTGGATGAGCAATAAGGACATGAGATATCAATAAAGAACAAAAAAAGTTTGTGGGGGTAGGTGGACTGGTACATGGAAAGGGAGGACAGGGGAAAGCTAGAAAGGTAGACTGAAGCGAGCCTTGAATGCCATGATAAAAATAAGGGCTTATTCTGTAAGAAATCCAAAATCAGTAAGAATGGGTTTGACACAAGAAGCAGTAGTCTGACGTAATTATACTTGTTTTACAAATACAGGCAGTACTGTGTTAGCTGAAACTAAACGCAAGGAAATCAATTAGAGCATTAATAAAAGTCCCAGGAAAAATAGGAATAAGTAAGAAAAAGCTGTTTATAAAACAATACTTAGAATTCAATCTGTTTTTATGAAAGAAAAACACATTTCATATTCCAGTTAAAACTGTATTCATCCACATAGAGAAAAATGTCTGGAAGAACATGCAATTGAAATGTCTACAGTGGTTATGTATGATTATGGGATTATGGGTGGTATTTAATTTGTCCTTAAACTTTGCTTCTTTTTTTTTCTTTTTTTTTAAATACAAAGAACATACAATGTTTTTTTTTAAAGGGGGAGGGCAAGAAAGCAATTTCTATTTTAAAAGACAGTGAAAGCTTGTTGAAGGCAGACTATTTTGGTTTTGTTTCTATTGGAAGGGGAACGCAATAATAAATCTATTTTGATCTGTTCGGCTTGAGGTGTCAAAAGGAATAAGGAAGAGAAAATGAGGAAATAGATACTCAGCTTTTAGATATGTTTTGCTCTGTTGAGAGAGGATAATAATGCATACGTTACAATACAGCATACGAAAACTTCCTTTACTTTAGCTTCACTATATAGTGAATATATATAGCCTGAATAAAGCCATCCACCTGAGAAAAGTAGTAAGATTTATTTTCATTCATTTTAGAATCTATGAAATTCTAAGAGAGAGGGCAACTAATAAAAATTCTGTAGGTTGAAACATATTTTATACTTACTTACAAAGCTGCCTTAATGAATTAGCTCTGTTTGGAATAGTCTGTACCAGTGTTTTCTCTGGCAAGTTAACCTTGTCCAGCCTCCCTTACTACCTTCATCCCAACCTGGAACAAGCAAACCAACAGTCATCCACCCACTGTGGGTAGACAAAAGACTTAAAATAACTACAAACTATAAAATACCCTCCTGCATTTAAGCCACACGCACACAGTATGATGATGATGATCTTGTGAAGCCCCATATAAGATTCATTTATAATGAGAGTATTTACACTGAAATAGTGTAGCTAGCCTAGAAAAGACAGAAAACATACCCCATTAGCTTTCTTCTTTGCTTTCCATTCATCCAGTTGCGCCTTTGTCTTTGCATCAACTTTAACAAGTAGCTTCTTCTCTCCAATCTGCAGGTCATGCAATAATCTGAGTGCACGAAGAGTAGATTCAGGCTCCTTATACTCACAGAATCCAAAGGCTAGCAATGCAAGTAAAGAATTAGTGAAGTATCAATGCCATTATGAAAGATAATAAAAATTTTTGGAAAAGTAAAATCAGTAGAGACCAAATGTTATAATATGAAGATTACTCAAGTCATCACTCCACCCCTATTCTTTAATTCCCTCTGATAATCATTTCACTTTTAGCACCCTCAAACAACCAAAAAAGGGCTGGCTGCTTAGCTCAGTTGGTTAGAGCATAGTGTTATAACACCAAGGTCAAGGATTTGGATCCCAATACCGGCCAGCTGCCAAACAAACAAACAAAATAAACGACCAAAAGAAAAAAAAGAGAAAAACAAAAATAGAGGAAAGGAAGAAAAATTCCACTAAGGCAGAATGCTACTCGTTAGAAGCTCTGATAAAATATGTAGCAGAGTCAGTGAATTTCATGACTAAAATAATTCTTAATTATTGCATAAATCCATTCCAGTCAGACTTCCTAACAGTCACAAATAAGTGAGAACAGACTGCTTGAATCTATATCCTATATTCTGAAATGTTAAAAATTACAAAAGTAGTGATCTTTTATCCTAGTTGCCAGTCTATTTTTCCTATATATATTTCATTTTATAATTAGTCAGCCTCACCATTAACATAATTTTAAATCAGGCAGGGATATTAAAACAAAATTAAACTTAAAAAGAACAATCCAAAACTTGAAAATAAAATTATACAAATGAATCTATATATGTATGCAGTTAATGAGATAACCACACTATTCTGAGTGATATTAAAACAGCAAATCTGTGGCTGGCCGGTCAGCTCACTAGTAGAGTGTGGTCAAGAAGGGTTCGGATAACCGTACTGGCCAGCTGCCATAACTTTCAATAATCATACTGTTGATGATAGTGCTGGTGCTGTTAGTCTGAAACTGTAATGTGAGATAAAGCAAGTCAGTAATTACTTAATGAGTCTGTACTCCCTAGTGTCCTTAAAACTCAAGATTCTCAGTGCAGGTGAAAGGAAGCACAGATACATGACAGAAGAAATTAAATAAAAACCTTTTAGCCCTAAATTTGAATAGCGTGCCTTGGAAAAACCTAAAAATGAGCAAACAACACTTACAATGAGTACACCTTTTGCCCACATTGTGATTTTGAAAACAATATCCCACTAAAAGGAACCAGAGTTCCCCGGAGAAATGGCAGATTCCAAATCTGGGGCAGAAAAACTAGATAAGCTTGGAACATCTTGCCATACCAGAAAACGAAGGCAGTTAGAGTCATACCAAAACCACGAGATATCCAACTTGCAGAGGTAACTTAAGACAACTTAAGCTTTAACAGCAATAATAACTGCAATGAACCCATATTAAATATAATAACATTGAATATGCTTCAACCCATAAGTTCAAAATGATAAAAAAAAAAAAAGAAAGCTAGTCACTGCTAGAATACTGAAGACACCAGCTCATTCTTTTGAGAAATAAAAAGAAGCACAAAAGCAATTTATCCTGTTTTTCCTAAATTATACGTTTCAGTAACCAAAGATGGAGGTGGAAATTTTTCCTTATACATATTTTTCCCTAAAAAGTTCATGGAAAGGGGCCAGCCCATGGCTCACTCGGGAGAGTGCGGTGTTGATAACACCAAGGCCCTGGGTTCGGATCCCATATTGGGATGGCCGGTTCGCTCACTGGGTGAGCGTGGTGCTGACAACACCAAGTCAAGGGTTAAGATCCCCTTACCGGTCATCTTTTTAAATAAATAAATAAAATAAAAAGTTCATGGAAAGATTCCTATTATCTTCTAATTCTATTTTTCCACAAACTTTCTGAAGTACCCTCACATTCTACTAATAAATGAAGAAATCTTGCTTTTCAATGAAGGAATGATAGATTCTTCAAAACAGACTTACATTTTGCAACCACCTAATGAATAAGTCAACCTAGGCATTGATAATCAACAGCTGCTACCATAAAAAACAAAAACCTGGACGAACACTACTTCTATAGTATTCTTGCAAATAAAAGCACCAAAAAAAAAGCACACATAAACTTAAATCTGAGTAAGTCTCAAAACAGAACTATTGACCAGTTTACAGAAAATGCAGAAGATATATCCATGGCAAATTATACTACTGGTAGGCCGGCCCGGTGGCGCACTGCTACAGTGCGCCGCTTGGGAGCGTGGCGACGCTCCCGCCGAGGGTTCGGATCCCACATAGAGACCGGCCGCTCACTGGCTGAGCGAGGTGCGGGCGCAACACCGAGGGTTGCGATCCCGTTGCTGGTCCCGGTCCGGTACGGGTGCGACACTGAGGGTTGCGATCCGTTGCCGGTCACGAAAAAAGACAAAAAATAAAAAAATAAAAAATTATACTACTGGAGCTGCAACTCGCAAAACCAGACTAAAGAAATGGTACTAGGCAAATGACTCAGTTTCAACAAATAAATTGCAAAGGAAATGAGAGATACAGAATAACTTAAAATACTAAGAGACTTAAAACCAACTGCCAACTAAATGCAATGGATGAACCTCATATAGATCCTGAATTAAATGAACTATTAAAATAAAATGGCATTTGAAACAACTGGACATCTGAACACAGACTGGCTATTAAAAGTTATTTTTTTAGGTCATCAAGAGTATTTTGTATATTTTTTAAAGCCCTTATCATTTAGAAACACATACTAAAATATTTATAGACAAAATAATCTGGCTCTTGGGATTTGATTTAAAATAATATAAAGAAGAGGAAATAGGTAGGGTATAGATGAAACACAAATGGCCATGAATTTATAAATGTTAAAGCTGGGTGATGAGCACATGGGCGTTCATCACACTATTCTAATTTTATGTATGAATTTTTCCATATAAAAAGTTTTTAAAAATGCATAGCAAACAAGTGTAATGAAAAACAGTTTGTTTTCAAGAGTAATAGGCCATCTCATTATCTCTTCTCCTACTCTAAGTTCTGATTGTTCCACCTTAATCATATAGTCCTGCTCTGAGATAAAAAGGACTTTATAAAGTATAAGAAACCAATTAGTCTGAGTAATTTTAATTTTTTCCTCTCCTACCTCCTTCCTGTTACACTTTTCCACCTTCTAATCTCAACTCTCAGCCAACATCTTCCCAAATGCCTTTTAATCCTATTCCAATAAGAAAACAAAGAGTGCTAATAAAATAAAGATCAAATTAATTTACACACACAGGTTAAAGTTATTTCAATAAAAACATGACCTACCTTGAAGTTTTCCAGAAGCACCCTGTACTCTCTTCCAGCTCAAAACCAAGCCACATTTCTTAAAAGGAAAACATATAAAGATCAAAGAAGAAAAAAAAAATACCAGCAACCAAGCTTGTTAAAATTCTCCCATTTTCCACAAACTTATTATATGAAAGGTATAACAAATCATTTTAAGAAAAATATAAATTCTTACTGACTTTTTTATTTGCAGAAAATTCCCTTTTAATAATTTAGAAAGTTTACACCATTATTTATCCTACCAAAAAAAAAAAAATATATATATATATATATATATATATATACATACATAAAAACCTAAGGCCTAATATTAGAATGGTTAAAACAAACTATAATAAACTAAAGTAAATATCATGAGCTCATTAAGATTGTTTTAAAACTAAATGTATATTTATAAAAAATTTTTGGGCCAGCCCTGTGGCTCACTCGGGAGAGTGCGGTGCTGATAACACCAAGGCCAAGGGTTCGGATCCCACATAGGGATGGCTGGTTAGCTCACTGGGTGAGCATGGTGCTGACAACACCAAGTCAAGGGTTAAGATCCCCTTACCGGTCATCTTTAAAAAAAAAAAAAAAAAAAAATTAATGACATGGGAGATGTTTGATATGGTATGCAAGAATAACTTGGGACAAGAAATTGCTGATATACAGTAAGATTTTAACTGTGTAAAGAAAAAACAATTTTGTAGAATGATCAGAAATATTCCAAAATGTTAAGGGGGTAGGATATCTGAAGGGTGGGACATTATTACACTTTGGGAAAAAAGAAAAAAAGAAGAAAAGGAAAGAAAGTAAAGAAGGAAAAAAAAAGAAATGAACGAATGAAAGATCATTCAAGGAGCCGAGGAAAGCTTAAAAACAGTGTACTACACTACACATATAAATCAAAAACAGGTTTTAAAAAGTAATGTTTAAAATTGAAAACATGTCCACATAAAAACTTGGACACAAATATTCACAGCACCATTATTCATAATGGCCAAAATGTAGAAACTCAAATGTCCATCAAGTGAGAAACGGATTTAAGAAAATGTGATATATCCATAAGATGAAATATTATTTGGTAATAAAAAGGAAATACTGATCCATGCTACAGCATAAATGAACTTGAAGACATGATGCTAAGTGAAAGAAGCTATGCACAAAAAGCCACATATTCTATGATTGTATTTATATAAAATTTCCAGATTACTTCTGGGCAAGAAAATAAACAGGAACTGGGACTTTCAATCGTAATGTTTTATCTCTTTGGAAAAAAAAAAAGTCTGAAGCTAGTATTATACAATAATATCAGGATTTGACAAAGCTGGGGTTTGTGGGTGTTCATTTTATTCTCTACTAAATTTTGATGTAAGGATCACACAATTTACAAAGCAGAAATGGCTATCATGTAGAGTACCTATTAAAAAAAAAAAAAAGATTTTAAAATAACTTCTCCAAGGAAATAATGGAGATTAAGGAGGAAGTGAGTACAGGCACTGCTATTTTTTCATAATAAAATCATTCAGTATTATTTCACTTAATAAAGTGTATATATCACCAAGATAATATTTTTAAAACTAAGAAAGAAAATCTAAAGAACTTATTATTTCTGCTCAGAATAAATCAGTCAATCATCACTGGATGCTAAAATCATTGTTTTAAGGGTTGTTAGGGAAAAGTACTCGCTATCAAAATACTAACCCAGAATTGGCTCATTAATAATAAGGGAGGGAAGATACCATTACTATGGAGAGACCGGACCACCTTAACCAAGTAACTGAATGTCACCAAAAATAGGACCAGGAGATATCATGCATCTTTTGCTATGCTGCACTGAGAATACATCATCCATAAAACATTCTCCCCAAAAATGCTTAATCTGAATCTAACCATGAGCAAGCAGCCAGTCCAAACTGGGAGAGACACCCTGCAAAAGATCTGGACCCTTCAAAAATGTCAATGTCGGGCCGGCCTGTGGCTCACTCGGGAGAGTGTGGTGCTGATAACACCAAGGCCCCGGGTTCGGATCCCATATAGGGATGGCTGGTTCGCTCACTGGCTGAGCGTGGTGCTGACAACACCAAGACAAGGGTTAAGATCCCCTTACCCGTCATTAAAAAAAAAAAGTCCATGTCATGGAAGACAAATACAAAACAAGAAAACAAACAAAAGCATAAAAGGCAGGGAACTGTTTTAAAGAAGCTATCTAAAGAAACATGATAATTACATGCAATATAAAACCCTTCACTGGGTCATAGATCAAAAACAACAGGTACGGGCCGGCCTGTGGCTCACTCAGCAGAGTGCAGTGCTGATAACACCAAGGCCATGGGTTCAGATCCTATGTAGGGATGGCCAGTTAGGTCACTGGCTGAGCGTGGTGCTGACAACACCAAGACAAGGGTTAAGATCCCCTTACCCGTCATTAAAAAAAAAAAGTCCATGTCATGGAAGACAAATACAAAACAAGAAAACAAACAAAAGCATAAAAGGCAGGGAACTGTTTTAAAGAAGCTATCTAAAGAAACATGATAATTACATGCAATATAAAACCCTTCACTGGGTCATAGATCAAAAACAACAGGTACGGGCCGGCCTGTGGCTCACTCAGCAGAGTGCAGTGCTGATAACACCAAGGCCATGGGTTCAGATCCTATGTAGGGATGGCCAGTTCGCTCACTGGCTGAGCGTGGTGCTGACAACACCAAGACAAGGGTTAAGATCCCCTTACCCGTCATTAAAAAAAAAAAGTCCATGTCATGGAAGACAAATACAAAACAAGAAAACAAACAAAAGCATAAAAGGCAGGGAACTGTTTTAAAGAAGCTATCTAAAGAAACATGATAATTACATGCAATATAAAACCCTTCACTGGGTCATAGATCAAAAACAACAGGTACGGGCCGGCCTGTGGCTCACTCAGCAGAGTGCAGTGCTGATAACACCAAGGCCATGGGTTCAGATCCTATGTAGGGATGGCCAGTTAGGTCACTGGCTGAGCGTGGTGCTGACAACACCAAGCCAAGAGTTAAGAGCCCCTTACGTGTTCACTGATGAATCTAGCTAAATACAAGTGTGTTCACTGTTCTACTATTTTGTCTTTTCAGCAGGACTGAAATTTTTCAAAATAAAAAGTATTCTTTCTGCTTTTTCTTAAGTTCGAAATTTATAACGATAAAAAACTTTCTGGGCTGGCTCGTTACTTCACCTGGGTAGAGCACAATGATGATAACACTAATGTCAAGGGTTCAGATCCCGTACTGCACAGCTGCCCTCCAAAAAATCCTTTTCAATGAAAAATAAACAGTTCAACTTACAGCTAAGAGCTGTCTTATAAGCATGTCTGAGGCTTTCTCGGAAATGTTGCCAACAAAAACTGTCGTCGTAGGACCACAATTTTCATCATTCTCTTTAGTCTTTAGGCCTGGGTGATCCTTTCTTGCTCCCAAATGCTTTCCAACCATAGACACAGTGGGTACTAAGACCTAAGGTGAAAAAAAGGGAATAAAATTTGATCTGGCAATTAAATTTCCTATCGTGTTTAATATAACGTTAGGCTAAAAACAGTAATTGTGAAGTTGACTTGTGAACAACACGGGGTTAAGGATGAAAATCCACATATAATTTGACTCCCCAAAGACTTTACCAATTGCATATTGCTGACTAGAAACCTTATCAATACCATAAACATTCAATTGACACATTTTTATGTTAATGTATTATATACTGTTCTCTTACAATAAAGTAAGCTAAAGAAAATGCTATTCTGACAGGTCATTTCAGATAAAAAGAAAATGTTATTAAGAAAATCATAAGAAAGAGAAAATACATTTACAGTACTGTACAATATTTACTGAAAAAAATCTGTACTTAAGTGGACCTGAGCACTCTAAACCCACATTGTTCAAGAGGGTCAACTGTGGTGAATACATAGCACATTATTAAAGCTTCCGCATATTCAGTCTAATGCTCCTAAAGCACACAGCATGTTTCATTAATGCAAACTTATTCATGACAAGTAAGCTTACACTATTAGATTACCTTTCTTTAAAAAAAAAAAAAAAACTTGAAAAGCAAATAAAAAAAAAAAATTTAAAAAAAAAAAAAAACTTGAAAAGCAAATAAAAAAAAAAAATTTAAAAAAAAAAAAAAACTTGAAAAGCAAATAAAAAAAAAAAATTTAAAAAAAAAAAAAAACTTGAAAAGCAAATAAAAAAAAAAAATTTAAAAAAAAAAAAAAACTTGAAAAGCAAATAAAAAAAAAAAATTTAAAAAAAAAAAAAAACTTGAAAAGCAAATAAAAAAAAAAAATTTAAAAAAAAAAAAAAAACTTGAAAAGCAAATAAAAATAACATAATTTTTTTATTTCTAAGACATTATAAACCATTTAAAATTATCAAATATATCCTGAAGGGTTTTTTTCACAATTGTAGTGTAAGTAGCAGTATAAAAGAAAATTTCAATTATCTCTGCTAATCCTCCGAAAGAATATTCAAACACTCCATAGCACTCTCCACACACTTAAATTTTGCCTTTGATCAGTTACTTATGTTCCTATCTTATTTTCCCTTTATAACTTTCAACCTCCCAGAGAAATAAATCTTTGTACTTGACTATGAATTCAGCAAAACACCCTCAGTAGGCACTGAATAAACAGTGGTGAACTTGGGAATCTGCTCCAAACACCAAATTCTACCTTTTCCTAGCCCTAAATATAAGAGGGAAGAGTACCTGTCATTGGAGGCTTTCCAAAATAGCCCAACTATAGGTGTCCAGTGCAAAAAAAGCTGGACTCCTCTTGGGCTGCAGAAACACATCTTCTTAGTAGTTCGCCTCACAGCAGATTCCCATGTGCCCATGTAGTTCCCCTCTCCCTTTTACTATGAATACCACCAACCCCCTCCCTTCTCAAAACCCACAGATATTAAAAAAGTTGAAAGTAATGAGATCTACCCTCCCTCATAGTACAATTCCAAATGAAGACTGTTATACTAATTAGCTCAAAGAAAGATTCTGGCCAAATAAAAGTTAATAGGGTTATTATTTATTCATGTGCCTTATAGTACATCAGCATTCTTAACTAAGGTGCTGGGAGTGCCCAGAAGCTTTGATTAATGTGGAGAACTAAGGTTCAAGATATAAGAATGAATAATAGAACACTTCAACAGAGGAAAAATTTCAGTAAAGCTTTATAAAACTTGAAGATATATTAGAGGACAGAGAAAAGGAAGATGAAAATAGCTTGGTCATACTACTCTTAATGGTTAATAAAAAAAAAAAAAGAAAGAAAATAGCTTGGAAGGGGCTAAAAATTAGGGAGGTGGGATAAGAGAGTTAAGTACTCAACACTTCAAAATTTAAATTTTTGTGGATTATTCCTACATTCTTTTCTTTTAAGAGAACAAATATGTCAGATCATTCACTCATCTTCCAGGACCAAGATGAGATGAAGGAATGATGAAAGGGCAAATATCCTAAATCTGTAATAAGATTCTAAAGTAAGGGAAAAATTTTAAAACTACAGGGAGCATATTTTAGGGGCAATTGCACATATGCACATAACACATAGCTGAGTGAAAATGGTATTTATTCAAATAAGTGAATAACATACACATGAGTGCTCTCATTCTCTTATTATTCTTTTAAAACACATAAATAATTTATCAAGTTTTTTTTTAGCATTAATAGCACTACCATAACTCCCAGTAAGTCCTTTAAATTATACTTACAGTTGGAGCAGGAGCCATAATGCTCATTGGTACAGGAATCATTGGGGTTCCTAAGAAAAAAGCATGAGACTTAAGAATACCACTATACATGACTGTACAGTATTATATATCAACTACATGCCATACAAATAAGTATCTTCTCTCATAGATAATATAAGTGGAAATATAGAACAAATAAAAATGAGATAATGATGTCTTATTTTCAAAAGCAGTGTGGTATCAGCTTGCTGTATATGAACCTACAACAAAAAACTATCCTGAAAGCAAAACGGCTAGCAAAATACTTTTGCCTTAAGGTATATAAAAATCTGGATAGTTATCAGCTCACATTCATCTGGATCAGTGATCCTCAAAACCAATACCTTTCACAAATACAGATTCACAGTTATGGGTTGTAGTGGATTGAATTATGTCCCCCCAAAACTCACTGAAGCTTGAATTGTGTCCTCCAAGTTTCATGTATTAGAAATTTAGCCCACACTGTGACTGTTAAGACGGTGGGAAATCCTATTATGGTAACTGAAAGGTGGAGCCTCGAAGAGGTGGTTAAATTATAGGATCATGCCCTAGTGAATGGATTAAAAATGGTGGTCATGGGCATAGTTCTGAGGGCTTTAAAAGAAGAGGAGAGTCTGTCTCTCTTGTGCTCTCTGCTCTCTCTACTTCCACCATCTTGCAGTGTGAGACCCCCGAGTCACTGTCACCACCACCAGATGGTCTTTGGACTTCCCAGCCTCAGAAACTGTAAGCAATATTGGGCCGGCCCGGTGGCGCACTCGGTAGAGTGCGGCGCTTAGGAGTGCGGAGGCGCTCCCGTCGTGGGTTCGGATCCCATATAGAGACCAGTCCGCTCACCGGCTGAGCGCAGCAGTGTGAGACCCCCGAGTCACTGTCACCACCACCAGATGGTCTTTGGACTTCCCAGCCTCAGAAACTGTAAGCAATATTGGGCCGGCCCGGTGGCGCACTCGGTAGAGTGCGGCGCTTAGGAGTGCGGAGGCGCTCCCGTCGTGGGTTCGGATCCCATATAGAGACCAGTCCGCTCACCGGCTGAGCGCAGTGTGGGCGCGACACCGAGGGTTGCGATCCCGTTACCGGTCACGAAAAAAAGACAAAAAGGAAAAAAAAAAAAAAAAGAAACTGTAAGCAATAAATGCCGTTTTTCTTTATACATTACCCAGTTTCAGGTAGTTTGTTATAAGCAACATAAACAGACTAATACACAGGTGAACAATGGTATTAATGAATCCTTTAAATGTGAAAACACATTGTACAACATGGTAACTATAGTTAATAACAATGTATTGTATTCCTGAAAATTGCTAAGAGAATAGACTTTAAGTGTTGTAATGCACGTTAATTAGCTCAATTTAGCCATTCCACAATGTAGCCATATATCAAAACAACATTGTAGTCCACAATAAGTACATACAATTTTCTCAATTAAATAAATACATTAAAAAAATCTTTCGGAGGGGGGGAAGTATCAGATGAGAAACTAATCTGGAAACCTAAGAACCTTGTTATTTCTAGTTCTTTCAGATAATGGAAATCATGCAAAAAATGAAGATCAGTCATCTCAGCACTGTCAAAGAGGAAACTAAGACAAATGTGCTGCACTGAATAACTCATCCTAAGGGTTTAAAAGCTGTCAATAGCTATTCTACTACTGACAACGAAAGGGTATCTGTTTTCAACTACACTGTTTACTAATCAATAGCTGTTATATTGAGAGTTGTCTCCTTCCTTGTTCACAGAAGGAAGAAATCAAACCATTAAAGAACTAAGAAAAAGCTTGCAATGAAGGCAAAATTAAAGACCTGCCCACATTTCTAATATAAATTTTAAAATGCTTCTAAATAGGGGCCGGCCTGTGGCTCACTTGGGAGAGTGCGGTGCTGATAACACCAAGGCCACGGGTTCGGATCCCATATAG